TATATATAAATAAAACGTAGTGACAATTCAAATTAGGTCCGTTCTATACCTGCGCTGTTATATTGTGATCATGGAACACTATAGGAAATTTGTTTCTTGAGGGAAGATTTGTTCCTATCTAGCGTAGGATTCGCAATATCTAAAGTTTTATTTTTCCTTGAGGATTTGTCAACTGTCTTTCTAATTATTGTTGACTTTCTCCTCTAGATCTTCTCTGTTAAAACCACAGATATAGATAAAGACTTGTTCTCTAAAGCCATTGATTGATCACTACGTGCTATAGTTTTGCCTCACAGAGGGACTATATGATGGCTAACAAAAGAAAAATCGAAGGTTGCAGCAGCGCAGACATGAGTAAAAAGATGAAAAGCCATGAACAAGATGATGTTCAAAAAAATTCTAAGAAAAGAAAATTTGCAGGTTGCAGCGACACAAACATAAATAAAAAGATGAAAAGCCATGAACAAGATGATGTTCAGAAAAACCAAGAGCTCCCCATGGATGTGGACACGTACACACCAGAATTACCTGACCTTGTTGTCAACCAAATCCTCCTCCTCCTCCCCACCAAGCTCGCTGTCCGGGCCAGCACTCTCTCCCGGCAATGGCAACGCCTGTGGTCTTCGCTCCCGGTCTTGAATTTCGATGAGGATCTGCAGCTCTACAATTCTCAGTATGGCACTGACAGGGCAATGTTCCGGAAGTACTTGCTCAGCTGTTTGAAGCGCCGCGAGAAGAGCCGAGAAGAACATGACTTGGACACATTCAGGCTTAGCATGAGGTACTCTGGAGGTGCCAGTATGATAGATAAGTGGCTGAGTTTTGCTGTTGAGAGAAACGTTAAAGAGTTGGAGATCATCCTTATACGAAAGTATGGGGACAGAAGCAAACACTACTTCTTGCCGCAAACGATCCTCAACGCACAATCTTTAACCACTCTGAGATTAAATAATGTGAAATTAATAGACAACCCTATGCCTATAAGCCTTCCTAGTTTGAAAAATATGGTCCTCAAGAACAAGGATTTGGGTAACGTGGGATTTGTCCACTTAATTTCTGGCTGCCCTTCCCTTGAGGACTTGTCGTTAACTTCGTGTGGGTTAAGGTTCTGCAAACTTTTGAGTTCAAGCCTCAAATCCTTGCAAATTGCTAGGTGCCGAAAAGTGAGAATTGAAGTTGGAGCTGTGAATCTTGAATCTTTTAGATTCTGGGGTGATTCTTATACTGAAATGTACATGCACAGCAGCCTCAATATCGCGTCGTGTCGATCGCTTAGACATCTGGAGTTTTTCGATACATGCTTTGGAGGCCGATGGTTTCATGACGACCTCAGTTCAAGATTTCCCCTGCTTGAGAGTTTGGTGTTGTGTAAATGCAGCAACTTTTGGTCAGATACCATCCACATCAATAATCAGACTCTGAAACGCCTTGCGTTTTGTGGACGCAACGGTTTTACCGTGAAAGTCAGTATCAATACTCCAAATCTAGCTGCTTTTGAGTTTAATACTGGTTGTTTGCCGAGTCATCAGTTAAATGTTCTGTTCTCCAACTTTTCTCTGAATGCTCCAAATTTGTTGAAGGCTGACGTCAACTTCAACTTGGAAGACAGATCTGGCAAAGAAGAAAATATCTTCGAAGACATAGATTTTCCTGCGTTAATAAACTTTCTCAGACATTTTGATTCCTCTGGAAGTTTAAGCCTAACCCTTAATGAAGCTGAGGTATTTATGCATACCAGTTCGATTTTAATCACTTTTCACTCTACATATGTGTCAATCGATTTCTAACCTTTTTGTTGTTGTCATTGTTGAATATGTTTCAGGCTCTTATCTTTCCAGAAGAAAGGAGAAATACATGTTCTCCACCACTACCTAGTCTCAGGCATCTTTGGGTAGCAGTAGATCCTTTAAAGAAGGTGAAAGATGATGTCTCTTCAAAGAAGGTGAAAGATGATGTCTCTTCAAAGAAGTTGAATGATGATGTCTCTTCAAAGAAGGTGAAAGATGATGTCTCTTCCAAGAAGGTGAAAGATGATGTCTTGAGATTGAGGGATTCCTTGCAATGGATGGCACCAAGAGGGTACATTAACATGTTGATGGAAGAAGACGAGACAGTTAAATCATATTAATATTGTTAAAAAGTTTTATCTTTAACCTTACTTTTCAACTGCCTGTTTTTAATGCCAATTACTACTTATTGCTCCATTCTAAAACTCTGACTAATCTTCAGAGAGCCAGAGAATTAACCTTACTTCTGTCAAGAAAAATTAACCCTGCATGTTCTACCATGGCTAAGACTCTGGAGCATATATTTCTGCAAATATTGCTTTAAAAGTCCAAAATGCTATTTCTCTTTAGAATTCAAAGACCACAGGATGATCAATCTTGTGATCAAAACTAGTCTATTTTTCATGTGTACAACACTAGGCCTGATTAGACTTAAGCATGGGACAGAGTTGCCTAAAGCATGGGACCAACACATAACTTGCAACAGAGTTCAATCCTCACGTGCCCATGCCCGCCCTGTTTCTTTTTTTTTGTTTTTTTTTGTTTTGTTCAATACTGAATTTCATTTCCAGCCAAACAAGGCACGAAAGATACAAAAGAGAGGAGATGAACAGCCAACTAAGAAAGCCTATCAACTGAATACATACTACCCAGCGAAGACAGACCTCCTACAAAAAAGTTATCAAATAAGAGGGCACGGTAGCCCATAAGACACTAACACCCGAACCAGAGACAGTGGTGGTCGTGAAGGAGAATAGGATAATGAGTTAGGATTAGGTTAGGTTTGGTTAGGTCTATAGTTTGATTCTCTCCAATATGACCACCCAATGTAAACAAAAGAAAAAAGTTATCTCAAGAAATAAAGACGGAGTAGGATAATGGGTTAGGATTAGATTAGGTCTATGGTTGGATTCTCTCCAATATGACCATCCAATGTAAACAAAAGAAAAAAGTTATCTCAAGTGAAGAAGAATAGGATAATGAGTTATGATTAGGTTAGGTCTATGGTTCGATTCACTCCAATATAACCCTCCAATGTCAACAAAAAAAAGTTTATATTATAGATATTTCTCAACAAAAAAGAAAAAAATTGCTTATATAGATGCTGTTGGTCCCCAAAGCCCAAACTAACATGGGCTCCTACCGGCCATCAAACTTCCAGCGCTTGCTTTCTCTCACCAAGCTCTTGACCTCTGACGTCAACCAAGGCCGTCATGACAAAGCCCTTGCTCTATTCCACCACATGCAGGCCTCACTGTCCCTCCCTCTCGACGCCCATGTCTTCTCTCTTGTTCTCAAGTCTTGCTCTGCCATCCACCGCCCGCAACTCGGCATCTCCATCCATGCCCATGTTGCCAAATCGTCAATCCTTCCAAACCCATTTGTGGCTTCCGCTCTCGTTGACATGTACGGCAAATGCGTGTCACTCTCAGCGGCACGTAACTTGTTCGACGAAATTCCTCAGAGGAACGTTGTTGTGTGGAATGCTATGATATCGGTGTATACGCGTAATGGGAATGTGTCTGATGCGTTGGGATTCTTTGAGGCTATGGATGTTGAACCAGACGTGTCAACATTCAATTCCATTATAGCCGGGTTGGCGGGATCCGATGATGGGTCGTTCAAGGCCGTCGAGTTCTATAGAAAAATGAGAGCTTGGGGATGGAAACCGGATTTAATAACACTGCTTGCTCTGTTACGTGCTTGCGTTGGTGTAGCAGCTTTAAGGTTTATTAGGGAAATTCATGGCTATGATGTAAGGAATGAGATTGACTTTCATTCTCAATTGAGGAGCCTCCTGGTGGAGGCCTACGGGCGCTGTGGTTGTCTTGCTAATGCGCACAATCTGTTCCACTGCATGAAGAAAAAGGATGTAGTTGCATGGAGTAGTTTGATATCTGCGTACGCACTTCACGGGGAGGCAAGAGCTGCATTGGACGTTTTCCGGAAGATGGAATTGGCAAAAGTAGAGCCCGATGAGATCACTTTCCTTGCGGTACTGAAAGCGTGTAGCCATGCTGAAGGATTAGCCGATGAAGCACTACATTATTTTAGTCGGATGCGTAAGGATTATGGTGTGCAAGCGAACAGCGATCACTATTCTTGTATAGTAGATGTTTTGAGCAGAGCAGGGAGGTTGAATGAGGCATATGAGGTCATAAGGCAAATGCCAGTGAAGGTGACTGCTAAAGCTTGGGGTGCTCTTCTTTCGGCATGTAGAACTTATGGAAACATGGAGCTTGCTGAGATTGCAGGGAAAGCTCTGTCCGAAATTGAGCCTGGTAATCCTGCCAATTATTTATTGTTGGCAAGGATGTATTCTAGCTTAGGAAGGCATGAGGAGGCCCAGAGAATGAGAAGGGAAATGAAGGAGAAGGGAGCGAAGGCACCTTCTGGCACTAGTTGGGTGGTGTATCAAGACTAATATTGTACATTAGTCTATTAAAAGCAAGCTTCACTTGTTCCATGTCACACAGAAAGAATTATAGCAAGAAATAATTCAGTTTTGAGGTGTTTTTACCAATGCAGATAGTCCTCCATTTCATGACATACCTAACTTGCAATTTTACTCATCCCTTGATGGAAGTTTTTACTGTCCAAAAATCTTTTTATTCAGAATTTGTCCAATTGGAAAAGGCCAAAAGTTAAGACAGGGGATGCTAAACTCAATTGCAATATCATGGATTGAAAAAACAAGCTAGGAAATCAATTGGGTTATAAAGTATTTTCTAGTTGCAAATCACAATCCAATGTTCTAATTCAAATGGAAAAAATAAATAAATTTATAATTCAAGCGTTTGCACAAGGTCTTTGTGGGCTGGACCTAATAGTATGAAATTGCTGTCAAGTTTGGGCTCATAGTACAAAAAGTTCAAACCTTTACCTTGGAAGAACAAAAGTCCAAACCTTCAAAAACCCCAATATCCAATTTCTGCTACTCAATCGCTGTCGCTGATACTGATAATGGCTGCAAAACCTCTCTAACCCCAAGCCATGGCGACTTCCATTCCCGCCCTCTCCTCTCCAAGCCCCTCTATTCTCAGACTCAAAATTACTTCATTTTCTCCTCTCATCATTCGACCACATAAACAAACCATTCAATTTCGCTCTTCAACCAAAGTTCAATTTTTGAACCCTATACAACCTCACAATTTCCCTGGGTCTTCCGGGAAAGCAGTTGGGTTTTTGTTTGAAAGAAGGTTAAGGGTTCGTGTGAGTGCAAAAAGTGATGGCGTTGATGAAGCTGAGGAAGAGACTGGAGGAGAAAGTACTATGCCTGAGCGGTTCAGGTACTTGACCAAAGAAGCTCCTGATCCTCCTGTGAGGTGGCCTTGGTTTGTAGGTAAAATGTTCTATTCTCTTTTCCTTTTTTCTCTGTTTGTTTGCTGAGAAAATGTTGATGAATGGAAAAGAGAAAAAAGAAGAAGAAAGTTTGAACATTTGGGATTGTAATAAATTGGGACTCCAAAAGAATTTAAGAGCGACACTCTACTGGATACGTGTGATAATATCCCATTGAATGATTGTGGGTGGCAATATCACTATGATTAAGGAACTTGCTTTCATATAGAAATACATCTTGTTGGTTAGTTTCTTCTTAGGAAGTATATTTTGACATTTCTCACCACAACTTCCTCAAATTTAGAAATGCTTGCCTCATAAGCTCTTAAAATGCGAGACAGGAAATTATAAGAGTTCGTCACAAACATCTAAAAAGTGAGCTAGCGATTTGTAATTCTTAACTTTTCAGAATTACTTATAAAGAGAAGGAGAATGTATAGACAGTACATGTGTTTTAAAAGAAGGGTTCTACAACCTCTTGACAATTCTCATAGTTTTATTTTCTGCCTGCTCTGGCGTATGCATTAGTGACTAAATGTTCTATGCCATAACACATTTATGTTTATTGACTGATTTTCACCTGAAAATGTTGAAGAGTGCTGCTTTATATGAGTTGGGGGAGATGATTTGGACAAGTGCTCTGATTAAGTGTGTCTTAGTTCTCCATGCTTGAGGGTATTCTGCCACAAATGCTTTTTCCTTGTGATTGTATGAATATAGAAGGATTTGCTGAATCTGGATACATAAGAAACTTAGAAATTATTTAGCAGAGGGCAGAAAGTGCTGCTTTGTGGAGTTAAACAGATCTGGGAGCTGACTTTTTTGGTGTGAGCATATAAGCTGATAAAACAGAAACTTTAATGTATTGGTTTTAGATTATTTAGTTCCTGTTACATGAACTCGTTAGTGGTATTATAAAACATATTCTAATATCGCTTTTTATGACCATACTAATTATGTTGTTCAATTTCTGTTTGAGGCTTGCACATACGAATTTTTATGACCAATGCAACTGTTGTTCTTAACCTTTTTCAAAATGCTTTTCTGGGAAATCTGACTGCACAATAACATATCTTATGCAGCTAACTAAATATTATTTGTAATTATGCAGCATTGGTCTTCCTTATTTATGCATGGAGAGCTGTCTTGCTGGAATTAGCTAACTGGAGAAAGGCTGTACTGGCTGTTGTCCGTTTTGTGGGATACCTCTTGAAACTTATCTTGGCCCTAATCTTCCATTTCCTTGGTGATCCCATTACTTTCATAATCAGATTCATAGAAACAACAATCTATGCCCTTCGCTCTTTCTACTCTGGCATAGTGGCATATGCTCCAATTCCAGAATTGACAACGGTTATCATGCTGGCATCAACCGTCCTTGCTATCGCAGAAGCTGTTGTTCCAAACTCTATAAACTGTCAACCTTTTCTTCTCACAGCATCTGGTGTAGTAGGCTATGCAGCTGTGACAGGTTACATCTCAGAGCCTTTCTTCTGGACGATTCTAGTGGGGTTGTACGGTTACTCACGATTTGTTAAAAAGAGGGATGATGTTACATCTGCATTGCCCGCAGCAGCTGTGCTGGCTGCTGTAGGAGAACCGTATATTAGAGTTTTGGTGATCTCATCATATCTCGCCTTAGCCATTTTGCACCACACAAAGAAGCTTTCGGAAAGAAAGGAAGAAATTGTAGTGACTAATAGGAAGCTTCCAATGCCCTTGCTCGGCGTAGCCTTAGCCATCGGAATTCATCTTGCTGCTAAGTGGGCTGGGTACCGGCATTTGACATGGATGATAGTATGAGTGTTAAGAATACCATTATTTGCCTATTGGACTGCAAGGGAAGTGACCTTGTGTCTTGTGTGAGATGTCTCCAGTTTGCGGTGACAGAATTATACCCCTTGTTTTTGTCAACTGAATTCAGTGATCTCTCTGTAATTTAGATTGCAGTAGTGATCTTGTTTTGTGCTTCCTATTTTTGCCTTCCATGTTTCATATCAGCTTGACTAGAATTCAATGATTGTACAACTTCAGAAATTTCAAAGTGGCTAGTCTCCCTATAATTTAAACTGGAATGTTTCTACGTTGTTCATGTGACCCATGTCACATATCAATAGTTTCCTTCTCATCTTTAGCATGAAGAAATGTGACTGATTCATTGTGAAATCATATTATTCGATTCATCCTTAAAGGACTTTTAGCCTTAATTCTATTATTGTTTAAAAGTTTATAATTTCACAAGGGCAAATCCGAAATCCGAAATCCGAAATCTGAATATTAGAAGGTGAGTGATAATGTAGTTCTCGCTGCGGTACAGTCACACCACAAAATTATTTGTGATGCAAATGTGAGTGATAATGTAATTCTCGCTGCGTTACAGTCACTATAAAATTACTTATGATACAAACGATATTGGGGGAGGGGGAATCGGTCTTGAGTCTTACCAAATCCTATTATTCCTCGACAAAAAAGGACATTACAACTTAGAGCAACTCCACCCATTTGCTCTTTGTCATGGCAAGGGGAGGCTAGGGCACCACTATTCATGTGAATAGTGGTTGCCCTTACAAAAAGCCATTTCCGTTTCCACCCGTTGCCATGGCAAAAGGCAATTACTATTCATTTTTTTGTTTTTTTTCACAAATTACTATTCTTTTTTTCAATAATTAATTTTGATAAGATTTTCAGGTTCCTACGTGTCAATACTATTCATATCTCATAATCGGATAAAATTTTCAATTTCAAATTTCAGATAAATTTTTTTTTAAAAAGGCTGGTATTTATAGTTTTTGGGTTTTTTTAAAAAAAATTCAAGTATTTTATTGCAAAAAAAATTGGCTGCCGTTGGATTGGAGAAAAAAATCCAATCAGAGAGCCCAAACGACGCCACGTGGCAACAGAAAAAAAATTCAAATGAGTGGGCTGACGCCAGCAATGACATCAGCCCAACCCTCGGGCTTGAGCTCGGGCTGAACTGACTTGAGGGCCAACCCGTCTTCGTGGGTCCCACGCCCAACTCGGGCATGGGCTCCTCGTTGGAACGTCATTTTTTTTATCCACCCCCCCAAGCCTTGGGCTCAGCTCACAGGTGGAGTTGCTCTTACAATACCAGTCGTGGGCAAAAAGGACATTGAGCATGCTGAACGGCTAGATCATGAAGAAACGGCGTCGTTATAACCGTAGTACGAGTAAGAAGAAAATGACCTAGGGTTTGTGCAGGGCTTTAGATTGCCTATATAAACAACACGAACCGCTGCTTCTTCTCATACTCTTCAGTCTCCATCGAAGCCTTTCTTAGCCTCCTCCCATCTCCTCTATTGCCTGTTCAATTCTGTTTCAGATAATCAAAATTCCGTTCTTTTATTTGTTTCAATCTTGCTGAATCACGCACGATGCACCCCGGGCTTCTCTGAGAGTTCTCACTGAAGATGAAAGCCCCAATGCTCGTGCTAAAACGTCGCCGTTAAGTGTTGTAGTTTAGCTTTGCTCCCCACGGCTTTACTGTGTCAAATCGACGGCCATATATCTCCCAAGCTTAGCCCTTTTTATGAATTTTGTACTGTATGTTACGCCTCGACACACCTTAAGCCTGTTTTTGAAGATTCTCCGAAAACAGAGCTAGTCATGGAGGCGCAAAGCTATTGCGGTGTCAACGTGGGGGTTTATCTGTTTTGATGGTTTTGCCTCTAAAAACGTCCGCTAGATTTGTCCTCTTTATATCTCCAAATTCAGTTTATTTGATTGAATTTTGGCGATGATTACAAATTATCCGCGCTTCTGAGAGCAATCTATGAAGCAGAATGTGATAATCAATGGTTGAATTTCTTGATATGAGCCATGATTTGTGTTTTTTTTTGTTAATTTATGTTTTGGGTTGTTGATAAGTTTGCATATTTTTCATATCTGTTTTGGCAGTGATGACTAAATTTACAGCTTTATGCCAGTTCTGCTTCAGAAAATTCGTGATCGAGAGAGCTGTTTCATACTCTGAGCCTTCAGTTTATAAATTTGATTTCTTTTGTGTTTTTTTTTAATGATTTGATGTTTTGAATTTTGTGTTCATGTGGCCTATGATGATTCAATCCGCTTGTTTGAGGTGCGGTGGAGCTGAGACCCTGTTTTCAGGGAGAACCCCTCGGTGAAGCCACATTTCATATGACATTAATGGATTTAACTGAGGTTTTGGTCTAAATTATTGCAGCCAAATCAAATGTTTGTGTCCGATGCTTGATCTGCAGTTTTATGTTTTGAAAATCTTCTTGTTACAATTTTGATTTGAATATTGTGTTGTTCTGACCTAGGATGATTGCATCCGCTTGTTTGAGGTGTAGTGGAGCTGAGACCCTGTTTTCAGGGAGAACCCCTCGGTGAAGCTACATTTCATATGACATCAATGGATTTAACTGAGGTTTTGAATCTTAATTATTGCATCAAAATCCAGCGTTTGTGTGTTTGGTTTTTGTATGATATTAAGATTAGGTGCTAAGATTAGACCCTGGCAACATGTTCTTTGTTTGTGTGTTTTAAATCAGACACTGATATGTTTGTTTTTCTTTCTATTATGTTTGATTTTGAGTTTTAACTATACCCTTGTCCTTAATTCGATTCGGTTTAGGGTCTGAAAAACTCATAAATTTTGGTGTTGTCTATCAGCTTCATCTCTTGTTACTGGTGGAGACTGAAGTTAAACAACAACACTACATCTAATCGCTATCAAGCTCTTTGTATTTTGCATTTAGGTGAAAATCATGTGAAAACTGAATCTGATTTGAATGTGAAGAATTTGGTAGGATAACATAAAAAGGAAATATATGTACTCAAATCACACTCAACTACACATATACTCAAATCACTCAGTGACATTCATAAGCAATTTTGCTTTCAATATTGTTACTTTTATTGCATGTAACAAATTTTTACCAAAATGAAAGTATTTTAGTTATAAGTTGTCGTAGTGGGACTTACTTGGCTGCCATAGAATATAGTTTGGCTTGATTAGCTGCCATTTTAAAGAGTATAGCCGCGCGGCTATACTCTCCGAATATATTCGAATATTTAATATTCGCTGCTATTTAGATATTCGGATAAAGTTAAGGAGTATAGCCGTGCGGCTGTACTAATTAAATATTCAAATATTTATTCTTTATTTGTAATTGTATTTATTCTAATATGCCTATTTAATTTTTATTTTTAAAAACAAAATTAGTTTTTTTAGTTAAGAAATATCTTAGCCCTTATTTAATTACTAATTATATTTCAAATATTATTTATTTAGTGACTAATTAGTATTTAAATATTTTAATTAATTTCTTAAATTATTCAATGTATAGTAATTGATTATTAAAAAATTTCTTACAAATTAGTTTATTTAGTTTAATATTTGTAATTCAGTAATATTTTAGCCTTATTTAATTACTTTAATAAGTAATTAGTTTTTATTTATTATTTATTTAGTGAATAATTAATAATTAAATATATTAATTAATTACTTTTTACCATATTTTTTCTTCCTAGCAAGTTTCTTTGACAACGTTTGCTGTTAAATGTTCCCAAAGTAGATGTGCATCACTATAAAACTTCACTTAGATTATCTACATATATAAAGCGAAAGGCAGAGAATTTTGAAATATTCAAAATGCCAGAAAATGCCCTTGGTTAATTCAAACATTAAGAATTGAAATTATTAATTAAATGAGGATAATATGGTAAATTCATTTTTTTAAAATATTTTAAAAAATAAAAATAAAATCAGATAATAGGTCCTATTTTTATGAAACATAAATATCCATGTTATCTTTTATTAATTCTAAAAATAAAATAAAACCAATTGGCTAGTAATATTATAACTAAAAGCTGCCATAGCCGCTTGCAGCCACTTTTCCTTTTGTTTTTGTACTAAAGAGTATAGCCGAGCGGCTATACTGTGCAAATATAATATATTTAAAGAGTATAGCCGTCGGCTATATTGGCGTCGTTTTTGAAAAAGAAAATCATATAGCCTCATATATATACTTGGATCCTTTATTTTTTGTACGATAATTTTTTTTTCATGATTTTTCTTCCTTTAAATAGAATATTTCACAGTATAGGTATAAATGGAATATTTAAAAGTATGGCCGCACGGCTATACCCGTTTGAGCATGATCTGAATTTCTCTTTTGTATATCAGTTATGTTTTAATTATTGTTGACTTAGTGAATAATTAGTGTCTAAATATTTTAGTAAAGAATTTTTTTAACAAATTAGTTACTATTTATTAAGTAATATGATTTATGAAGTTAATTAAAATATTTAATACTAATTAATCGATAAAGAAATCATAATTAAAATATAATTGTAGCTAACTAGAAAATGATAAGTACACATTGTAATAGCTGTGTTAGTATATACTAATCATTGTTGCAAATCGCCGCGATTGATTCTGTCATATGAGTGTGGTGAGAGATTCGTGTTTTTGAAACGTCAGCTGCTTCTTCTTCACAAACTGAAGTGTCTATTACTGGTATGAAGCAATTCAACTTTGCTAGGCCAGCCAAACCATTCAGCTTATAGCTTTTTATATTTTGGAGATTGGATGAGTGTACAGCCAAACCATTCAGCCAAACCATTCCTTTAAAGTGGTGGAGATTGGATGAGTGTACAGCAGTTTACAGTTTTTATCATAGCTCAAGTTGATCTTGCAAGGGAAGCTGCCCATTTGTGCATCCTGCTGTTTTGGTGGAAACTTATGAACAAGGGGAATGTGTGGATGATCTTCAAGGGCATGATCGGATTAAATCTGCGCTTGCTCACATTGGGACACA